GTTCGTTGTTATAGCGTTTGTTTTAGCGCGATTGTTGAAATTAAGTGTATCGTAAAGTTATATTCGGAAAGAATAAACCAGTTCTATTAAGTAAGGACTTGTGTCTCTAAAGTTTCGTCAGAACGAATTTACGGAAAATCAATTAACGAACGGAGACGTAACAATATATATAACAATAGACCTACCTAAGTTCCTACTAATGATCTTGGCGGTATAGTGTTATTAGACATGTTAACATAAGCTGGTCCAAAGGTTTTTTCCAAACATAAAACTCGATAAGTGTATAACTTACTATAATAGATAATGTACAGTTATAAAGTTTTTATCTTTTGTTAGCTCGACCAATTTATATTCTGCTAGTAAGGATGAAAGTTAAAGTTCCCTAATTTTAAAGATATAAGGAAAAATGTGTTTTTCTATTTAAAAGTGTTTCAAACAAGTCTTCATTAAATGCTGATCAATTATGTTTGATTTACACATCCATCTTATGAATAAATAATTGTCTGGTGTATCGAGCAGAGCATGGCCTTAAAGCTTGTGTGACCAGATTGTAATCTGAGGATTCGTGTTTTTTTTTATCTATTCCCACTAAAACCTGCTCTACACCTTGACGCTGTGAATGCACTACAAGAGCGACGGTTGACTCCCACTATTTAATCAGATATAAGTTAGCGGTGGTTACTGTTGACTAGCTGCCTTCCTTCTTATGTATCAGTAACTTGGATATCGCTATGTGCAGATAGTCTTTATACACCTTTGTGCAAAATTCTGAAACACATAAAGATTGAGATATCTAAATCTGAAGAAGAGGAACCCACTATGAGACAAATAAAGTTTAGAAATGATTTGAATGGATAACGATGGAAACATTATTTCCAAGCATATTGCGTTATAAATATGTATATGACACTTTTGCTGAATTCACTTCTACCAAGTTTACACCATCTTTCTTTGAAAACAAATATTCCATTCAGCTCAACATTAAATTTAGCATCGATCACGAAACAAACAATTACCATTTCTTAACCTCAACATTATTAGATCTTACACACAATTCAAAGCCAAATGTTCCAGGACTAAATAAAACTTAGCAAAATGGCACAATACCATTGCGCATAAGATAATGTGTCATAGCTGCCAAAATTCTACATCGGGGTGTAGTAAATTTCAGATGAACTGATTTCCCTCCAATGATAACACCAGATTCGATAAGGAAATAAGAAAAGTAGTCTATATTTGATAATTCGAGTAAGTTTTAATTTGCATGAAAAATAAACAGACTGGACACAGTTGATGGACAGCGAAAACAATATATTTATACACAACAACAAAAAAAACTCGTTGTACCTGTGTAGACGTAGCAAATTGATGATCGCCTCTACTGGTCTGAATCAGTGAAAAGCTCATCAGCTTTCCATTCCCCAAGATAAGTCTTTACCAAACTAGTCACGATGAAAATGTAAGTGGAAAATAACTCGGACTACTTTTTAAAATTACTTTTATATTTTATTTATACCACAGGTCCTGTAATTGGCTTTTTGTAGCTATGAACCATTAGTTACTGTATGTAGTCAAACTTATTTGCCAAATCTGTAACACAAATTTTGAATAACTGTTAAGATATTTCACACACACGAACATTTAAAGAACAATGGTGCCATGCTTCTCTACAACATAATCAATTCCATAACTATATAGGTTTGCTAAGTTATGTTTACAGTTAACATGTCAACTCCTTTGTCATTTAACAAACTGCATGCGATGATTAAAAAAGAACCCTTCAGAGGATCAATGGCAAAATCATGAATTTACAATGCTAATGTCCAGGGTTCGATTCCCTGTGCTAGACATAGACATGAGCAAATATTCCATTGTGTTATTTCGGGCTAAAAAAATAAACAAAAAAAGAATAGAGAACTTTTTTTCTCAAAACACGTTATTCCAGAAATTATTACTTTCTTTCAAAATTTAACATAACTTTTACTAAGTTGGCTAATGGTTATGTAATTTCTTGGCCTGTTGGCTAAGGCACTTTACTCGCATTCTGAGGGTTGCATGCTTGAATCCTCGTCTGCGAATATGCTCGCCTTTTCAGCTGTGATGATCAATCCTACAATTTGTTAATAAAAGATAGCCCAAGAGCTGGCAGTGGGTGGTGTTGGCTAACTACATTTCCTCTAGTCTATTACTGCTAAATTAGGAATGGCTAGAGCAGACAGTGCTCATGTAGCTTTGCGTGAAATTCAAAACAAACCAAACCAAAATATAACTGTCAACTGAATATCAGCTTTTTTATAGCTATATTAATATGAGGTAAACATTTCAACTGCTTGAGAAATATGAAGTAGTCTTCTTCTTGTTGTTGTTTTCAAAACTTTCACATTGGATGAGTCCACAAGGTACTTCTTTCGTCTTTGATCAGTGATGAAAGTAACAGAGAGTTCTGTCGTATATTAGTAGCCTCCCCAAACACAATAAACAAGAAAAACACCATAATGTTTTTTTTTTTGCTAAGTTATTTTGTTCTTGTTTCTGAATCCTTTAAAATTGGAAGCACTTAAAATTGAATTTTAATGACGAACATAGTAGTCTTAGAAAACTTACAGTCGCTTGAATGGGTGAGAAAGAAAAACTATTAAAAAGTTTGACAAGATTTTGTCATCATTAGGTATAAATAGTTTACCTAGATACAAGAATGTGTATATAGTATAAAACAAAGACGTCACATGACTGGCGATTGCTTAATTAAGCTTAGGAAAGGTATCTTGGCACTCTGGGGTGCTGGATTAGAGTAGAGCTGTTGTGTTCAATTAAAATTGCCTCTTCGATTTTACGTTCGTTGGTGTTTGTTTCTTTGTTTAAAACTACAGTATTTTAAACTTATATAATATACTTTTTAATTGCAATGGTTGTACATTTGGGAACTTTCTCCTCTGATATGTAGTTATATTATATGTTTTTATCTCCTTACAATATCAAGTTTATTTACTTTGTGTGTAGTTTTAGCATAAAAAACATGGTCCAGAAAATCGTTGAGATTACCTTGTTCTTGTTGCTTTGTTCTCAGTAGATGATGTCAATTATGCCTGAGAGGCTATTGTAGTAACATATAGCACCCGGATTGAAAGTATTAGCGACTGTAGTATCCTTTGCTGGCCGAATTGGTAATGCCTGGATGCTACAACTGACCAACGTGTGAGAGAATAAAGGTCGCAAGATGATGCTGTTAAATAAGCAATAATCTAAAGCTTCTGCTTTCTGGTTTGGAGAAGCATATGTTTCTAGTTATTTTGTAAAATAGAGTTCACCACAAGCACGATATGTTTATTCCCTCAGTTGCTAAGTGGTGGAGAACTAAGCACAATGACAGTAACTCTCTCAAGTGGTGCTCCAACACAATACTGCTGTAGTTAGCTGTGCTGTTTTCTCTGTGTATTTTTCCACCCACAGCAGAGTTAACATGTTTTACGCCAATTCTTCACAAATCCCTGGTACCCGACCTAGTAGAAGCAAAGTATTACTCACTCCAATGTCTTCTTAACACCCAAGTGACCAGTCATTGGAAGTTTGGGGAGATAACAAAATATTTCTGAATGTAGAAGCTGTGGAAGTACCAGCTGTAGTCGTTACTTCTGTAAACTAGTATCTTCCAATTTCAGACATATCAAGCCTTCTTGTAAGAATAACGAATCACGCTTGTGACACCTATGTTGTAAAACATTTTTCTTTCATTGGGCAGGTACTTTTATGTTACTGGTGATAGTAATTTGAAGTCTACTGCATGTAACGATAACAAATTAGTTTAATTCCTCCTTAGTGTTTTTACAAGTATTTTTCAATTGTGTATTATCATAATTTGTAGACCTAAATTTGCAAATGACGTTCAAACGGAAATACCTCGCTAATGATACTACAACTAACGTAAAAATAAACTTACTTGTATAATGTCACGGCTAATCGATCGAATAACTAAATACACGTGAGAACTAACATGTACTGACCGAAACATTTCACTGAGTGGCTGGTAATAAAAGCAACAAGCTCAATGCTTCAATACTAGCTCATTAATTGACTATGCCACTCGTATTTACATCTAATGTTTCATTTTTAGATATTTTTAAAGTCACAATACACTCTTGTGATGTATCTAGAACATTCTAGGTATTCTAGACCTTCTTTTTTTGTCATATATCTTCTAGCTAACTTCTAAATGGAAAATTCAAGATATAGTTTACAACTAAGAAATTGATTTGTTTACTTGTTTGAAGTTAAGCACAAAGCTACACAAAGGGCTATCTATGCTCTGTCCACCAAGGGTATCGAAACCCAGTTTCTAGCGTTGTAAGTCCGCAGACATACCGCTGTGCCACTGGTGGGGGGGCTAAGAAATTGAATTCAGTCTTGAGAAATGGAGGTAGTTATAATTTTTGATTTGTTTTGAATTTTGCGCTAGCTGTTCCTAATTTAGCAGTGATAGACTAAAGGGAAGGCAGCTAATAAACACAGCCTACCACCTACTCTTGGCCTACTTTTTCACCAATGAATAGTGGAATAGTAGTTATAACTTTATAACTCCCCCACAGTCATATTAAAGCTGTTGTTTTTAACATAATACATGAATCAATTGACTATTGCAACTTAAAATACGAGTTCTTACATAAATAAAAAGTAACTGCACCATCTTTACTATAATTGCATTTCTTTAACAAATGGAACAATAAGAACAAAAGATATGTGACAAATTTATTTTATGTATAGATTAGAGGAATCCCATAGAACATTAAATAAATTAACTTTCAAAACACATATATAGGAAGATGAAAATAAGAAAAACACAAACTATGACGTTTTGAAACGTTCACTTGTCATAATTAAATACGACGTATGAATTAGAAGTGTGCATAATAATAATATTCCAATCACACTATATTCATGATATCCATTGCCGATGATACTGTTACGTCTCCGTTCGTTAGTTAATTTTCCGTAACTTCGTTCCGACGAAACTTTAGCGACACAAGTTCTTTCTTAAATAAAACTGGTTTATTCTTTCTAAATATAACTTTGCGATACACTTAATTTCAACAGTCGCGCTATAACAAACGCTATAATTCTCAACGAACGTCTCACGTGCTCAACTTCAACAATACTCAGTTCAATTACACACTCTCTGACTGCAGTTCAATTACGCATTGCCACGTCTCGTTGTGACCGTCTTATATATACAAGACTAACACATATCTAGTAAACGCTAGGACATTCATGAAGGAACAGGAAATTTCTAGAAGGAGGTGGCGTGATACTAGTCACGTGACCTCGCTGACGCAACACTGCCCCCTCCTTAGTATTGTTCGTCCCGAACAATAGCCACTTAAATTAAACCAATGATAATTAACAATAACTTAATTAAATGTACAGAATTACAAACACAAAATTACAATTCATCTCGTTGGCTTCTGCTTCATCAGGAAATGTTCTATCGTCGATAACAGTCACATCAGTGGTTGTAACTTCATCAAGAGCTTCAACGTTTCCCTTCTCAAAACTGAGTAGAGTTTCTTCTTCAACAATGGTTTTTCAGGTGACACTTCTTCAACATTTGTTCTGTTATTCACTTCGTCCCAACTGAAATGTCCTGGACTGTGATAACGCCAAAGCCTGTTGGCATGCACCACTTTTGGCTAACCTCGCCGACCAAATTTTATCCGGCAAGTCACGTCTGAGAGACGATCCACTATGTTATATGGGCCTTCCCATGGAGAAGACAACTTAGGAGACTTCCCTTTGGTCTTCCTGGGATTATACAACCACACCTTGTCTCCTGGTTCAAAGCTGACTTCAGTAGATCTCTTATCATAAGATAACTTTATCGAATCAGCAGACGTTTTCAAGTTTGAATGCACTTGATGGTGAATATCATCCATCCTTTCTGATAACACTTTCACGAACTCTGACACATTGTCAGGCAACTCTTCATAAGGTGGGCATCCTGTTAACAGATCCACAGGAAACCAAAGTTTCCGACCAAACATCAACTTTGCTGGAGTGTATCCAGTGGTTTCATGCTCTGCTGTCCTATAGGCCATCAACAGTGGGGGGAGTAAGACATCCCAGTCATCTTGGCATCTATTACAAAACTTTGCCAATTCCTGTCCCAGTGTCCAGTTGTACTTTCCCACCATCCCATCAGACTGTGGGTGCAGTGGCGTTG